CATTTTCAATGATTTATTCATGCTTCTTGTTACAAGATAAGGCTAGCAGCAAGGCTTTTCGATCGCGCGCGTGCATTTGAGTTTCGTACGTGAATGTGGATTGTATGCCGGATTGCGAGTATGCGAATACGCAAACTACAAAGATGGCCGTGCATTCTGAAAGGCCGTGAGCGAGGCGAACGAATTATTTTTCTTGATCGATTACTATTATCTACGTCTAACATCCAGCGTTGAAATCCCCTACTTTTAATTTCATTTCCCGTTAACCTCTTCAGAGGTGAATTCATTAAAATTTTGAAAATGATACTGTAGATAATTGATTTCTTATATATACGCACGTTGTATTAGAAACTAATATTTAACGAATCAAAGCAGAACATTGCCATTCCACGTTTCATTCCAGTATATTTCTTTACTCGTTTTTGTCACCCCATTTAATTTCAATGGAATTAATCAATTTTGCTTTTACGCGCGACTCGAAATATCGTCCCTAAATAAATCACGAGCGTTGATGCATTTATGAAAAATTTAAAAAATGACAGAAACGTATTTCACCCGTTTACGGTATTCCAATAAATGGAATTGAATCCCGCTATAAATTTTATTTTCTCCACAGCAGCGAAAACCGTTCGAAGTTGCAGAAAAATCGACAATCTGATCGATGTAAGACAGTGATAATTCAGCACGATAATTGGACGAACCTCTGAAGGGGTTGAAACGCGTCGTACTTTCACTTTTACTCTGTCGTTCATTTAATCGATCACGCGAATTCGTTCGAAACGAATTTTCGCAACGAAACGCCAGATCTTGAGATCGATCTCTCGATCTAAATCCTCGGTTTCCGTAATTGTTACAACGGAACAGCGTCCGTACACCGAACGAAAATCCAAGAATTTGTTCGAGCAGAGCTTTGTGTTTCGCTCAACCCGCTCTTGGCCAACTAACTAAGAAGCCAAGAATCGAAGCATACCTTCGGCAAAAGTTCGCCGAAACTTCCCTCGGCGCGTACGGAGCTATCACTAGGATAGAGAAGTGTCGTGATATATTAATATTACTGGCAAATTTCTTACGTTCTCACGATCAGCGACATACCGCTTCGGGTGGTTCTCTAACGACGAGCGAGCGAACATAAAATCACTCGTACACGTCACGTTTACTCGCGCCCATTCTTACGTATCCTCGGCACGGGGAGAGACGACGTTCTCTCGATTACCGGACAATAATCGGACGACGACCGGCGCGAAAAGAGTCAGTCAGGTCGTTTTGTTGAACGACCGCCCACGGCTGAAAATGATATTTCACGAAAAATCCTGACAACCTCCGACCGGTTATTACGGTAGAGAAGATTCGTTTAATCCTTTCGCCACTATAGAAGCGTACACCCTTTCCTCGAAATCGATCTTCCAAGTCTTCGGTCGCTCGCAAAAGTGTTCGAACCTTTCTCTGAACATCATCAGATTCCAACGAAACTGAAATGAAAATACTCAGGAAACGAATTATGTTAGGTGACAGTGCTTTAAACAGTCGCGATTTGATATATTAATAAGCTTCGGTATTTGCATTTGTTGCGAAAGTGTTCGAACGCTTGTAAGAAATTTTTATGAATATATCGCGCGTGTGTTATGGAGAATATTTTTCACGTTTTAATTAACGCTGGTGGTGAAGTCGCACGACTGTGAGATATTTAATTAAATATTTAATTACTTATGCAATTGTTCACGAAATATCGTATTTGAATCCTTCTAGAAGCATTTTGTGTTATGTAAAATCATTTTGTTAATTCTGCATGATTGGTTCAAAGTAAAGCTGAAAATATATTATAAAAATTACAAGATACCTGATACACATGTGCAGTTCATCACAAAAAGTATTTAAACAATTATCCTTGCGACCATGTTCAACACGAAATGGCTATTCATTTCTCGATGATTTACAAGGATCTCACATTTTCAAATTAAAAACCGATTAATATGAATTTTGAATTCAAGTTTTACGGTAGTGTCGCTCGCAAAGACAGAGATTTGGATTTAAAAAAAAAAAACCGCAAGTCCAACGGTGGTAATACCGTTCGCATCGAAAAATTTGTAGTCTCGTTTCGCAACACATTTCGGAGGAGACCATCGAAACAGATCGGGAAACCGATCTACGCGCCGCGAGGCGCCGTTCAACTTCTCGAAAGAATTATTCTCGTTCGCTTCTCTTCTGATGGAAACGATCGCTCGGGACACTCTGCTCGACAGCTACTTACGCGAAACAGAACGATTTTCGGCGTGATTCCCGGAGTGTCGACGAATGAAAGCGCCACGTCAACGTTCGGCGAACTTTTCAGCGTGCACAACACTCGACACTTCGATCGCGCACGGTCGCTTCGTTTCGAGTGTTTCGACGACAACGCGAGGGTGAAAAAAAAAAGACGAGTTGTCTGTACCGCAAGTCTCACACGCTGACCACTTACGAGAGGAAATTAAAAAAAAGAAAAAAAAAAAGAAAAAAGAATAGAAACGAGATTCGCTCGAATTCGCTTCGATAAGATTTTCTTTTTATAAAATAATGAAATAAAAAGAACTATTAGATTGACAGATCGTATGTTTAGAACGGGAATAATAATATATAGAAAATTTTAAACAGCAATAGGGTAAAAAGATTTTTTATAGGATTTTTATATAAATTCACATTCAAGTGTAAGTGAAATTATATTTAGTTATAAGTCGAATGCAATTGAAAAAATGAAACATTTTCACGTACCAGATATACAATGCAGAGAGCATTGCACGTTGCATATTTCATATCGAAATTTATAGTAGTTCTGTGCGATTTTGCAGTTTCAAATTATCGACAAATCCGTAAAAATCCACACGGCGTAATATTAAACTTGTGACAGCGCAGCGACACGTTATATTTCCTTTTCCCACACGCTTCAAATTAATTTTTACGTTAGAGTTTTCTTTCTTGATGAAAATGTATTTGCAATTGTTAACATTCTGTTTTTTGTCAAATTAAATTCTCAAAAAGTAGAGAAAGGACAAAACTAAAAATCGATTGACTGCATCGATTAAGAATCGGTAGTTTTCCAGTGTTGATACACGAGCAACAAGCAAAGTTTTCATCGACTCCGACGTTTCACAAATCTCCGTTCTTTACGATTTTGCAACGTTATTGTTCTTTCTTCACGCTCGGCGGTTAAACAAGCGAAAGTAAAATGAAATTCCTCTCCGTCGAGAGAGTAAAAGTGCAGAGAGCCGCGGCGCAACGATGAAGCTCTGGTGTAAAGTTTTCATCCCGTGACGATCCGTGAAAACTGTGACGTGAGACGAAAGAGAAAAAAAAAAAAAGAAAAAAAGAAAAAAAAGGGAAAAACAGAAAAACGAGAGAAAAAAAAAGAACCCGGAGAGCAACTTTCGAACGGTCGGATAAAATCGGCGAAATAGGATGTGAAAACGAGAACGAAACGACCGTGTGCTCGATTTATGTTGACCGTCGCTGATAGTCGACGGAATTTACGGAGTAAATTTGACCAAAAAAAAAAAGAAAAAAAAAAATTCTCGTCGAGACGATGAAAAATGGGGGGAATGAAAATACACAGAGAGAGAATCTAGGAGCGAAATTGTTTTGAAACGGTGTTGAAATCGGCGTTGACCTGCGAAAAGGGACGACAACGAAGAGGTTTACTGGACGCGGGAAGTGGTCAGGTGCGATTCAGCGGGTTCCGTGGCATCCGGTTGGGAAAACGAGACACTTCCGGGAGCTGTGAATGCGCTGGGAAGGGAAACCGGAAGCGCCGGCGGAACGGCTAGGCTGCTTTCGAAACCAAAACCGCGGGGAATCGGCAGAAAAGTCATCGGCGAGGTTCGACTGACAGTGACTGAAGCATCGAATACTATGTACATTTTCATGTATATTTTCTTTCGATTTCTTCATTTTCTGTTTTTTTTTGTCATTCTAATGTCACGTGATTCGTTGCAAAGTGTGACAGTTTGTCAGACAGAGTGTCAACTCTTTCGAGAAAAAAAAATATATATATATTGATACCATAAATAATCTAAAATAACCCATATGCTATAAAGAACCGTATACTGATACCGTACTCGAAAGAAAAATATTTAGTGACGAGTACAAGTACTTGTTACAGGTAGATTCAGATTCAAAAATCACATTGTTCAAAGGTATTAATTCCTTCCAGAAAGAACAAGTAACAAATTGCAAATGTGAACTTAATTAGCGGTAGTATCGTGCGCAACGTTCTTCGAATCTAAGAAGCACTTTTTCGCGATTCTAACGTTAATTAAATTCTTGAGAGAAATGTCAACTGTTTGGAAGAAATTTCAAGAAAAATTAACAATGAAACGAGTAGATCGCGGGTTTTTATGCAAATTTGGAAATTCAAATCGTCACGAACGATAATTAAACGTCAATAGCTTAAAAATTGAGAAGCTGGTTTTAAAAACCTGGGCGCGCGCGTGTTTGTAACTTTCGTAGCCTGCGAGCGCCATACGCTTTCGAGATATTTGGGGATGGTTTGGTTCACAAGATCTTCGAAAGGGCCCGAACACACGAAAGCTTTCACTCTAGCTTTCAGCCTGTGCAACTTTATCGGACATTTTTTTTCACTCGCGTCGTTTTAAGATCCCGCCGGAAATTCGAATTTATATGAAACCTGAAAGAAAACCTCGAAATTTCCAATATCTCTCTCCTCCCTGCTCTGTCCTCAAATAATTCTCCGGGGGATTAAAGCGAATATTCGCGGAAAATTCGAAAAATTCTCAATCTTGTCTTTCTCGATGTAACTTGAAAGTGTAATATCCCGTAATATCGAACCAAAGTTACTGCATTCCCAGCCGAATCCGATGCTTCGCCAGTTTCTTTGAGAGAAACAGTTTAAAATCGTTTCGAATCTTGATATCTTTGGATTTTAGATCGCACCGATACATCTAACTGCCACAACTGCCACGTTAATTCACACGATGGTGTCTAAAACGTAAAATAAATTGCAACACCAACGATTATGACATTCCATTAGTCTTCGTCTGATATCGAATATTGCGAGGATCGAATATCAAACTGAGTATCGTAAATAATTCAGCAAAATACATCAAGAAACATTATAAAATATTACGACGCTACAGCTTTGACAAATATCAACGAAGATTTAACATCGCATAATCGGTAACAAACCACCAACTGAAAATTAGCGACACTCATTATCAGTGCCGTTTGTTAAGAATAAACGATATAACAATATTTCTAGAATCTAAAAGCGTCTGAGTATCTCGCAGTAGCAATTAAAGGTTAAATCTAATCTCTAAATCGCGTGATCTATGTTGGAGCGAACTTTCAAGCGCGAATTGTCATTCATCGTAAAATCGTATATACATATATCAAACTTTCAAGCTTCTCTTCCCGTTTCAAATGACAAGCACGTCCGATTGATAAAGCGAATGGTCGAGCATTCTCGTCGCCGTGGTGGTCATCGTCGTCGAGGTTCGCAGACGTGGTCGATCATCGGTGCATGCCCCAGCCGATGGTATAATTGCGGGAAGACCTTCCCGTGCGTTGCAGACGATCTGTGGAAAAAAAAAGAAAAGTCGCGGCATCGACCGCCTAGCGTGAGAATACGTGACCGAGCTAGTGAATCTGGGATCCGTGAGCCCACTGAATCGATCGATCGGTCGATGAGAAAAATCTACGTATTTCCTCGAACTCGGTTCTCACAGGAAATAAATTTGGTGTGTCTTGGATAATGTGGAATCAGTGGAAGTTTTTTTTTTTTTTTTTTTTTGGAAATAATCTAATGAGCCGAAGCAGCATATGGTTCCAAACGAAAAACGGAACAACGATTCCAAATGCTTCTGAAACTTCTACAGAGATATAAATTTCCTTTCTTTCTTGTTCTACGAAATTCGCAAATTTCGAATAATTATTATTAAGATTGGAACGTACAAAGTTAATGTCTCTAAATTTTCTTCTAGTGAAGAAAGAGTGAAATTTGTTTAATTTCTATTTTCAGCTTATTTTCGGTTGAATACAACATTGATTCTACGACAATTCTCCAGATAAAACTGTCTAGAATTATTTCGATCTGAAGATGCAAATTTTACCGAGGACTATTGCCGTAGAAATCGGTCTTATTTTTCGATTATATTGTGTACCCGATCCGAGTAACAATCGTGAAATGTTCTCGAAGAGTGATTCATCTAACTTCAATTAGAAAACCTCACTGATCAATTCTTTTTTGATAGATGTGAATAGACGATAGCAAATAATAAATAAATACCACGTAATTTACATTTTTCATAAAATATACGTACACACGTTAAACGTACAATATTACGTAATTTACATTTTTTATAAAATATACGTACACACGTTAAACGTACAATTCGTCACGTAATTTACATTTTTTATAAAATATACGTACACACGTTAAACGTACAATTCGTCACGTAATTTACATTTTTTATAAAATATACGTACACACGTTAAACGTACAATTCGTCACGTAATTTACATTTTTTATAAAATATACGTACACACGTTAAACGTACAATTCGTCACGTAATTTACATTTTTTATAAAATATACGTACACACGTTATATCGGAAACAAATATTGGAAACAAAGATTTTCTAGTTGACGGGATGAATTTCTGTCTCTCTCGCAATTATTCACACGTGTGTAATTTACGTGACGTTTAAAAGAAAATAAATACAGAGGAAACGAAATGAAAGGGAACGTCGAAAAAGAAATTTCTTTTCACTAAATAATGTAACTCTCAAAAGTGGAGGATCTCCGCCGGCTCTGAATAATTTCAGCCCGAGCTCTTTTCAACTGTCAGGGAATGTTTCCCCTTTTAGTTTAGGGAACAGAGATGTTGTGTATTGAATCTTAACCTCTAATGAACACGTGTTTCCTTGAAAGCGCTCCGTCGGTCTTCAGGTTATGCTCTCAAGAATGTATAAATAGGGATTCCCCGTCTGTGTTTCAATTAGCCGTTTCCTCAAAAAGTCTCTCTCGGCGACTCTCTCGTGACTATCGAAAACACGAAACTCACTCTCAAGTGTCGAAAATTTCAAACTCGCTGCCCCGTTGCTTACAGATACATAAAAATCATCGTGAGAATAACATCCGGAATATAAACTGTATACACACGGGAAATTGTTTAAACAGAAACAAAGGAAATGCGCTCTAAAGAAACTTTTTTTTACATTTTTGAATGTGATCCAAATACTTCAAAATCGAATTTCTCTCATTTACGTTGTATTGTCAAACTTAACGTAAATCAGTGAAATAATCCCGCGTTAATTATTTAGCAAACGATCTGCCTCCGATTATTCGATAAAACAATTTTTCAGTTTATTTTTGTATTTTGTATTTTGCTTCTGTGAACATAGAATTTCTCAAACAGTGTCTGTCTCAAGTGTTGTCTCTATTTCAATGAATGATCACTCGATTTGTTCGGGCACAAGACGAAACTCCATTTGCAGAAGCATTTTATTTCTAAAGTGGAAATAACAAATTTCAACAAAGGATGCGAATGATACTTCTTAATTGTTACTTTTCACCTTTGTTTCGAACAAACTCTATCAAACTCTATCGTACCCGGGAACAAATAACGATTTCCAACGACGGTTCACAGTGCGTGGCGACATCGGAACGCGCCAAGAATCCCCCGTCGAAAACGACAATTACGCGAGATCCATTACACTTACAAACAGCAGCGAGCGTGTAATGAATGATTTATATTTCAGCTCGCTTCATCCACGATCCGTGGATCGCTGCGATATAAATGGACGCGAGCGCGCGCCATCGTAGAGGCCGTGGAAGATCAAAGCGACGCGACACACGCGCGTTGAAAAGCGTGGAACGGCGAAACAAGAAAAAAAAAAAAAAAAAAATAAAAGAAAAATAAAAGAGCGTGGCCGAGGGAAAAAATGTCGGCCGACAGTTTGCAACGACAGCATCTTTCGAAGGGGTTATCCGCGGGGATGCAGCGTACGCTCTCTCTTTTATTCAGCGAGCGCGCGCGCGCGCGTACGATTGCGAAAGTTTCAGTAATTAACGCGAACGGTCGCGCGCCGCCAGCCGACGTTTGTTTCACCGTGAAAATCTTTGGTTTCGATGGTTTAAACCCATGGTCCACACCCTCCCCTTCCGGCCGTGGTAAATTTCGAGGAAAATTCGCGCCGCTTCGATTACAGTTACGAATAAATTGCACTCTCGTTGGAGAGTTGCACTACCGCGGCCGAAAAGGAGGGGAAAAAAGTACAGTTGAACCGAATGTTAAATGTTCACCTTTAGAGAAAGGTGAAGTAGGACGACGGAGATTGACGATGATGGGAAATTTTTATTTTTTTCCTATTTGTCTTTTTTTTGACGAGGAGAAGAAAAATACGTGACACTGTGATTTGAATAATATTAGTCAATATTTAAATAAAAATGAATATTTTTCTTTTCAACTCTTCAATGATTACAAAAAAAAGAAACTTTAGTATACATGTGTGTAAATCATTGTGATTCAAATAATATATAAAATTAAATCGAATGTAAAATGTTCCATTAGAAAAAGGTGAAGTGAACTTGGTGGGAAATGAACGATGATGGGAAATTTTTTTTTTTTTACGAGAAGAAGAAACATACGTGACACTGTGATTTAAATGATGTTAGTTAACAGGTATAGTTAAGTAAAAATAAATTCAACTCTTCAATGATTACAAAAAAAAAACTTTAATATATATGTGTATAAATCATTGTGATTCAAATAATATATAAAATTAAATCGAATGTGAAATGTTCCTTTAGAAAAAGGTGAAGTGAACTTGATGGGAAATGAACGATGATGGGAAATTTTTTTTTTTTTTACGAGAAGAAGAAACATACGTGACACTGTGATTTAAATGATATTTAATCAACAGGTATAGTTAAGTAAAAATGAATTCAACTCTTCAATGATTACAAAAAAAAAAAAACTTTAATATATATGTGTATAAATCATTGTGATTCAAATAATATATAAATTCAAATAATATATAAATCGAATGTTAAATGTTCTTTTAGAAAAAGGTGAAGTACGATGATGGGAAATTTTTATTCTTTTCCCTCTTTTTTAACTAAGAAAAGAGAAACGTGTGATACTGTGATTTAAATGATATTAATTAACAGGTATATTTAAATAAAAGTGTACATTTTTCTTTTCAATTCTTCAACGATTACAAGAAAAGAAGCTCTGACATAAATTATTACTAATCAAATAATCTTAATTGAAACAAACACGTATCTTCAACTATGTCTTTCTTTTCAAGTAAAAATCAATATTAATTTTGTCAAAAAAGTACCTAGCACGATATGTATAAATCGTTACAATTCGAACAATATTAATCAGTTAACAATATTAAACAGATCCTTTTAATCGCATGCATAAATAAAAGTCAATATTAAACCTGAATATTTTCAATAATTGTGAAAAAGAAATCCAAATATCAAATAACACTAATTATCAGTGTTTCAGTCTGGATCCAGATAAAAAAAGAATCAATTAATTACGTGATTGTGAAAAGAAAACGTTTGGAACAAGTTCTATATATATTCGTAATAATAGGCACAAAGATCGCGAAACGTTACGTGAAACGAAATGAATCGTTTATCGTTCGGCAAGCCGTATAATTCGAATACATTCTGGACAAGTGGTAATTTATCCGGAGCAAAATGTTCATAATGTTTCATCGATTATCCTCCCTAAAATTGTCACGACTGGCTGATGTTAATTAATACACGTTGCATCCAATGCATAAAGGCCGAGGCCGGAGCGTGTTTGCGCGTTAAACAATATTCTGCATAATAACGTGTCGCTGTTCGACAGAATCGATTTGCCACGCGGGGACGCGCGGGGCAGACTTTTCCGCCTTATCCGAGATCCGCGAAAACGTTGGTGACACGTTAAAAATGCGCCCGCCACGCTTCCCCCGCCCAAGATAGTAATTCCCCGCGAAGTTGTAATTTGTTTGCCGCTTTGCGCCGATCGGCCCGGCACAGAGATTTTTCCAAGAGTGAGGAAAAATTGGAAATTTTCTTCGCGCGAGCGTTTTATTCGAAGCGCGACGCGGAAACGAAACGTCGTGATAGATTATCTTTTAGCTGGGGGGGGGGGGGGAGGATACGTTTGGTATTAGCAATTGTTATTAGGAGTCTATCGATAGTTTTCTTACACTCGTGTTGATCGTTTCACTGATTCTAGATAAATATGTTTAATATTTTTCTAACAATTTTTGATATTTAATCTTCGTTGGTATTTTTATTACGATCGAGGTGACAAATGATCAAATTGATATTGATATTCCTATTTTTTTTTCATATTTAACAAACTGTCAGATTTCAAATTTTTTTCTTTGTACAATACTTGTATGAAGCATGCGAATGTTTTTTTTTTTCAATTGATTTTCATTCTGACATGATAATGACAGACCCACTCGATTTAATTAATATCGTTCGAGTTATGATAATTCATACATACAGTATATTTAGATACATATTGATGGAGTAAACGATCGTAACAATGTAACGAGAAAAT